ATTTTAACCCTTTAAATGCCAGTTTGTTGAAAAGACTCCACAGTTTTTTTTATTGAAAAGAACAAAAAACTAGGAATATCAAGGAATATTTGATTATTGTTATTATTAGGTCCCAAGATTGGTCAATGATTGAACCAGGGCCAGTTTTCTCCTGAGTAGCTCCTCAGCCAGTGCGAAGGACGTGAACAAATTGTCACAGGTAATGATGTGTCCCTGGAGCCCCGCTGTCATCTCCAGGACCACCCTCATCCCCTGGTTGACTTCAGAAGGACTGCCAGCTGCTTTGCCTGTATACACCTGCAGTCTCCAGGCGTAGGATGATTTTACATCACAGTTTGCCCAAATCTTTATACCGTATTTGGCCGGCATTTTTGGCATGTACTGCTTGAAGCTGCACCTGCCTCTGAATGGGACAAGCTGTTCATCCACGCAGACGTCGCTGAATGGGCTGAACAGCATCGGCAGGCGGTGCGTCCACATATCCCAGACTTTGCGGAAGGCAGCCAGCTTGTCATGACGGCGCCGAGGTCGGGATAGCTTGTCGTTGAACCGCAGTGTTCGGCTGATTTGGTGAAACCTCTTGTGGGACATCGTGGCTCGGAAAATGCTCCGTCCCGATTTCTCACTCCAGAGGCTGAGGGTCGATTCATTTTTTGACCTGTAAACACCGGCCAAAATGAGCAGCCCCACGTAAGCCTGCAGTTCCTCTATGTCCATATCTCGCCACTCTGCAATTGACCGTCTCCCATGCAGGTTTGTCATGGACACAATATGCTGCAGGATGTCATCTGTCAGCAGCAGTGCAAAGCTGGATGCCGGGTCACTGATTCGGGCGACAGCATAGTGTGTTGGTCCCGGGATCAAACTTCTGGGTGCTGGGACGTAGCAGAGTGTCTCAGTGTTTGTGGGAGACCAAAACACTTTTCCATTTTTTGAAGTCCATCCCGCAGCTGCTTCCTCCAACTCCCCTCCGCTCTCAGTTTCAGATGGCCGGCGGCTGAGTACCGGCACCTTGCCGGTACTCAGTAAGAAGTGCCGGTACCACATGGGTAAAAATCAGAAGTGCCGGTAATGTGTACCGGCGAGTACCGGCCCAATTCAAGCACTGACTCTAACACAGATAATACCTGTCTTTGCTGCCCAAAAACGCCTCGTTGGAGATTTCTCATTTTCCATTGTTTGCTTCCTGGGTTCTGTGACGTGTGAACACCCAAATCAACAACAAATGACCGGATTGGCCCAAGTGGACCAATCCGCAGAGCACCTCACACACCAGGATCCCTTGGCTAACTCATAGGGGGTCCCCATTGACTTGCATAGAGCTCCCTGAACGCTGGTAATAGACGATTTGGAATCGCGGAGAACTGCTCTCCGCAGACCCATTCTCACAGCGTTATAAACCTTTTTCTTACTCAATATCAAGCCACACTTATTGTTTTTACTTCGGCTGTGACAGAGTTCCCGTTAGAATATTTTTTTGCCGGTCAACATGTCCGTTAAAGTTGAAATCTTCCGGACAAAATGAGAAAAGTGCCGGTCAAAGGTCTTCTTTGTTATTTATTGAGCTTTAAAACAAGTTGATATGATTCGATATTAAACAAACTAATTATAGTAGATTAACTACATTATTCAAAAGTGTACAGTAACTTACAAAAATGCGGGAATAATAAACGGAGCGCTCTCTCCTTCTCCTGACAGCCCGTCAGTATCATACAACTCGCGGATCAGTAATGAGTGACCCGACAGTAAAACTAAACATATCTATAACTAGTTTAGGTAGTTTGAGAGGTAATTAAAATAGCTACGTGTGATGTTCTAACCTGAAGTGTGTTTTGCTCTGCTCACCGCTGCAGGGGATCATGCAGAGCTGCGTGTCGACTCGTCAGCAGCAGCCGATCTCTCTCTCCCGTCAGATTAGACTTTACTCGCGTTTATGTCCATATCGATCAGATCCAGCTAGTTCTAGCTAATGATATGACTACCTGCTTATTAAAAGACACCTAAACAATAAGCGTCGCTATGCAACCGGGTGAGGCCACAAAGTATAGCGCAGCATTATGCATTTGTTTACATGCCCACCGGAACCCCGTCTGTCACATACTATTCTTGTCTGTCACATAAGTGGCGCAACTGATGCGGTATTGCGCTAAGGGAAAATTATTTTGACCGGACATTTTGACCGGAGAGATTTAGATTTGCCGGTCTTCAGCATATTTTACCGGTCATAGTCCGGTAATTACCGGCTAACGGGAACTCTGGGCTGTGAGTGTTTGTGTGTGATCAGGATGAGTTTAGCTTGTTCTCGCTGTATCGCCGACCCGGAAACCTGTCCGCTCCTCGCAGCAACGAGCCTTGCAACGTCCCGACCAATCAGAGCACACTGGGCTCACAGGGAGGGGGGGGCAGGAGCTCCAACAAGCCGTTTAGGACAGAGAGTGAATACCTGGTGAATACACATACTATACAGAGATGCTGTATGAGAAACCAATGTGATTTTGGAAAATTGCACAATTTAAATCTATTTTAGTATACCTCAACAATGGAAATATGATCAGTAGAAAGGCCATGACATGGGACCTTTAAGTCATGTTTTTGATGCCACATTCAGGACATTCAGTGTCCTTTTTTTAACAGAAGACAGTTGCTAGAAGCTGCAGCTAGACTGCAGAAGCATTCGTTTTTTGTTTTTGAGGATGGAACAATTTCACACACAGATATAGGGAGGCTAGACCTATACAATTGATTTATTATGGTTTATAATTTAATGTCAAGACGAAGAAGAAGAAGAAAAAGATGGCTGAACTGTTCAGTGTCCAAGCAGCACTGAACATGTCTGCTTTATTTGGCTCTACATACCTTCGTGAAGCAGATTTTTCTGATATGAATGTCATGAAATCTAAATACAGAACAAGACTGACTGATGAACATTTAAATGACTCTATTAGAGTGAACCTAAGTGGGTACACTCCAGCATACACCTCTATGGTGGACTCCATGTAGTGCCAGTCATCCCACTGACTGTAAAAAAGAGTGAATGCTCTTATTTTACACATGTGCCATAAGATGCTTGTAAGGTGGTGATTAAGGACATTTATGTGAATGTTCAGTGATGTACTTACTATGTGGGCCATAATAATATGTGAGAAATTGTCGTTTTCTTGGACCTTGATGTGAAGTTAAGATTTTTGATAAGCTTTAGGTATTGCAATTTCACACGTGTACAAAAGTATAGCTTAATTCAACTGATGGGCTATGTGAATAAATGTAAGCGATGTGATGGAAGTAGCTCTTGGCCACTTTCATTTTTTCAAAGTAGCTCTCAGATGAAGAAAGGTTGGAGACCCCTGCTTTAAACTCTTGTTTAAAAAAGTTTCATCTTAGAATGAATTTCCATCAAGTTACCGGTATTGTCCATGAACAGCTCAACTTCATTCAGTTTAGCAGTGAGTTACCTCTCCTTGCATTGTATTGCTGCAGCCGCTACTCCATGGCCTTTTCTGTAGGTTGGACTGCCCTCTTGTGGGTGTTGTCCATAATCGCGCCGACATTATTTAGCCTGTTCTATAAACCACACAGCAACAGCAGTTTTATCCAGTGGCTCGAACTCCAACGGTAAGGCATTTACAATAGCTTGCAGTCAATGTCCACAGCGCAAATAATAATCCAAATTGTCCTTTGTAGGTTCCCACGCACTCCTAATGCTTACGTCCTTGTCGAAAGCTTTGGACTTAGTCCATGCACTTGTTTCTCATGCTCTGACATAGCATCCAAATGGGGAAATCCATTATTCCCTCTTTGCACTCGGGCAACCCAAACATCCACAGAAAAAGCTTAAAAAAACAATGTCTGCTTTTAGGGCGAGATTTTTTTTTAGCGGCAAAAATCATACACAGATAAAACAGAAAATTGACTCAAAGGTTAAACTGCCGCTAAAGCACCAGATAGCAAATCTTACGCATGGGAATGATCCAAGTCCAGACAAGAATATCCTTTCGTGCATTTATTTTCATGATTCAATATCATCAAACAAAGTGCATTTAACCATTCTCCTGTAACTTGCCCTTTGCCTATCCTCAGGCTTCCTCATGCTTTTCCCAGTGGTAAAAAACCATGTGCTTACATGTGCTCTAATCCCACCACCACCTGGCTCCAATATATATGATTACACCAGGTGCCCCAATTACCCAGCGCCCAAAGATGCCTTCAAAATAAAGCCATAAATAATGACCATAAACAACGATATGCCATAATGGCTCTTACAGGGAGGCTGAACGTTGGTATTGAGCTTACATGTTTGTGGGGTTGTGTGTTTGTGGATGCATGTGCGTACATAGTCACAGACAATATTTACATGTGCACTGTAAAATGTGAATCCCAAGAAACTATAACGGACCGTCCACACAGCAGCGTTAAAAAAATCTTGGAGGTGGGCGTATCTGACGCTTGGGGATTTTTTGCGAGCAAGGCACCAACAACCAATCACATGAATCTCCCGCCCCCGACATACGAAGCAAAAAAGTTTGAAGTAAACTGGATATAAACTCCCCAAACAGGCGAAAACCTACCACTGTCTCTGCCACCTCCCTCCATGCCTGGCTCCTCCGGTTTGTATCCCGGTAGGTAAATAGGGACTGGTCATAAAGCACCGGGTGATTCCCTACCGCTAATTTCTCCTCCATTTTTTGGAATATGAGGAAATGACCTGCGGTATGTCTCTCCCAGCATACACGCGGTTTGATTGGCTAGCACTTGAACTGTCAGATTTGCATACACGGGATTTGATTGGCTGACGCTTCCACCTCAGCTTCAAAAGTTGAACATTGCTCAACTTTGAATCCTGAAAATCCTGAAAATCTCCGCTCGCCTGCCCACAATGCAGTTCGGCGAAAAGTGAGGCAAATGACGTCACCCCATTCAAAGTGAATGGGCAGAAGCGTTTCAAGATTTTTTAACGCTGCTGTGTGGACGGTCCGTAAGTGTTTGAGTGTATGAGGACTCACTGGCAAACACAGACACGTTGTCCTGGTAGGCCTGGTTCAGGGTGTAGTTGACGATGCTGTCCTCGTTGGGAAAGCCCTTGAAGACATCAACACTAACCTGGAAGCATAGGGCAAAATATCCTTTGACAACAGAAATGAACAAATCAAAACCTTTAAAACCATCATAATGAAGGACTGCAGCATCTGCTTTGCTAGAATCAGAAACCTCTCCCTCTCTTTCTGCCTCAGTCATGTGAGAACATCACATGCAGCTGGCCTGTCTTGTTGGGAGCCAGAGTTCTTCACTGAACTGACCTTAGACATGAAGCGTGTCCAGGCGCAGGCAGCGTTGTCGATGGTGTCCATCTGCTCCAGCAGGATGGAGATGTTCGGAAGGCTGTAGTTTCCCTCCATCAGACCCTGCATTAGCTCACTGTCTGTGCCATTCAACAGCTCAGGGTGCTGCTGCAGCTCTGAGGACAGCTGGGGAGAATAGAAGGAGGAGCAACAGAGACTAATGTGTGTGCAACGTTACATGTTTTCTGACTTAAGTCTAATTTCTCGGAAAATATCAACTCAATGTGAAATTATCAATGCACATTTTTTCTTTTACATCATGATAGTACTGCATCTTTGATTTTGAAAGATGACTAGATTCTACCTGCTGCAGCCACACCAAGTGGTTGTGCAGACGACCCTCCTCCAGAAAGGTCCTGAGCTGGGCGGAGATGTTGAGCCAGACCCGGGTGTAGTGTGTCACGTTTCCAACAAAAGCAAAGGTCTCATTTGCCTACAGTAAGTGCAAACAGTTAATAAATGTTAAAAAAATTAAAATAAAACATTTGTATGAATTCATCTATGAGTCCATATGTACTTTTGCTTTGGTAGTGCTACAGTCACGCAGCAAATAACATTTGATTCCGTTGATCCTTAAAAAAAGGAGAAAATAAAACAACAAAGGCTAGCTCCATTGCATAACCCTGAAAACTGAAGCAGAACTCGAAAGGAAATGGCATTCCACTAAGCAGCAAGAAATGCGTTTACTTTGGCACAATAATCCTCATATAGACATATTATCATTTCTAACATTTGGACTGTCTCTGTTGTAAATGTATTATCCTTTATTTAAACACGACACCTATTGCACCTATTGCACCTATTGTCCGTCCTGGGAGAGGGACCCTCCTCTGATGTTTCTCCCCATAAACTGTGGGGTTTATTATGGAGTGTTTCCTTGTTACTGCGAGGGTCTAAGGACTGAGGGTGAGGTTTTCTGTATACACTGTAAAGCCCCCTGAGAGAAATGTGTAATTTGTGATATTAGGCTATATAAATCAAATGTAATTGATGGATTTAATTGATTGTCTGACTTTCATACCATAAGTAAGTAGATAGGTTTTTAGCTCTTTCTGCTGGATGTATGAATATGAAAATATGAAACTTTTACCAGGTGAAAACATTTCAGTGCCACAGCCTTCTCAGAGTGAATAATGTGAACACCTAGACTACTTGCCTTCTGAATCACTTTATCCATTTGCGATCCAATGGGGGAGTAGAGGATCTTGGGATTTGTAGTCATCAAATGAACCAGTAGTCCCAGATTCCTCTGCTCTTTACTGGTGAATCCCAGAGAGCTCATGTTCCCCTGCTTCAGAGCCTCTGGCTCGATGATCCTGCAACAAGAGCCGCTGGTTAAATGTAAAAAAACTATTTTGTAAAAGAGCAAAAACTATTTTCAACCATAATCACCTCCACTGCTCTTATTTCATGGAATAAATGCTCTTTAGTTCTGGTAGAAACTGAGGCTCTCTTAGCATCAACAGTCACTCTTTAGGAGGACGGCTGCATCTAAGGTCAAACCACGACCCTGCAGCAGCTCCTTACCACCTACTACTAGGTGACACCACCTACTAATTACCACTGACACCACCTACCTCCTTACCACCTACTACTACCTGACACTTGCTAGTGAGGCCATATTGGAGCGAAATATAATAATATTAATTTGATATAGTTTTGCATTCCTATGGCAGGGCTAAACTGTTAAGCTGTTATCTTAAAATCAGAATCAGAAATTCTTATTAAAGCAATTGCAATTCAATGTTGACAACTATGTACATCCTAGCAGTCCTATTGTTTACCTTTGGCTTTAAAAAAATGTTGTGTACAATATAATAAACCATATGTTTTAACAGAATCATATTTTTAATGATAAAGACAATACTCGCAGAAGGATTTGCTGTGTTCAAACTGACCCTGCTGTGTGATTGGTCCTCTGCTCTCACCTGTTGTGCCCACACAGGATGGGCTGCAGTCCGGCCCACAGCTGCACAAAGGCTGAAAACTGAGAGTGAGGGTTCTCTGCTCCCTCCTTTCCTTTCTTTCCTCCTGTTCCTCCACCTTCCTCTGCGCCTCCACCCTCCTCTTCTCCAGGGATGTCAGTTGTGTTTTGGCCCCATGTGGTAGCGTTAAGGGGCCAAGTCATGTTTGTGGGGGAGGCTGGAGTTCGACCAGCGCAGGCTCCTTTGGGCAGCAGGCGGGCCAGGCCAGAGAGCAGGTCCACGTCCTTCAGAAGCCTCTCCATATCAGCCAGGTCCTTCAGCAAGGCCCTGAGGTCGGCCTGAGAGAGGGGGGCCACAGAGCGGGGCCGCTCCAGCTGGAGCTGGGGGGCGAGAGGGGAAGACAGGAAGAAATGATGGAGGGATGGAGCTGGGTAGCAAATATAATATGGTACAAACTGGCTGCTGTTAGTGAGGCTAACTGTCTACTTTAAAGATACCAATAATTACATTACATGACATGTTACTTGTTAGACGCTTTTCTCCAAAGCGACTTACATACTCAAAACTGTGGACAATCCCCACAGGAGCAATTTGGGGTGAAGTGTCTTGCCCAGGGACACAACGACATGCTAACTGCAGTGGGGTTTGAACCTGTGCTCCCCTGATCCGAACACCAACGCACTAGACCACTACGCCACACGCCTCCCAATAATATTGTACATGTTGTTAAAAAACAAAAGTTCTTGACATCTTTCCATTTCAAGCCTCTTCAAGTTGCACACGAAATGCTGTCAAAGAGTTTATAATATTAAATCAAGACAGAGGCACAGCAAAACCATTGACAACCTGGTCTCTATTTTTCCATGTTTTTGTGTTTAAATGACAAATGTTGACATTTTTGGAAGAGTGTTGAGGCTGAGTGCTGCTCAACAGGCTGCCATCAATGTCCACCACTAAAATAATTTGTTTATTGTTGTTAAAGAGAAACGTTTTATTTCTCTGCAGTCGAAGCCTTTCAGTGACAAAGCACTATTAGTGACCGTACATTGACAATGAGAGATTAGGTGGCAGATGTTCAGCAGTCCCTCTGTACCTTCTCTCTGACCCGCTGGGTGTTGATCTGCTCTCTCAGCTCCAGGCTCAGCAGTCTGAAGCGCTCTGCTCTTTGACCCTCCCCCCCGCCGCACACTGCTCCGAGGTAGGCCTGCAGCACCGGTCGCTGCTTCTCTGGCACCATCAGGATGGTACTGAGCTCACTAGCCCCGCCCTTCCCACAGGTGAGGACCTCCAACATGGCCCCAGTCAGAAGGACCCCCTGTGGAAGATATAATTAGTTTATTTGACGTCAGCATCTACAACGCATGCTATTACTCACAATAATTATCCATGATTAATCATAATTTATCAAACGTTTGAAATAACTAGTATTTACTTGTATAATGCGAGGAAATTATTAAATACATGTGTGTCGTAATAAAGAAATGCATTTCAAACTGCTAAGAGAAATCAGAGCGTTTTATCTCACCTCAGTTAGGATGATTTATGAATTATTGGCTTGAAGTCAGACCATTTTCCAACAGTTAGCTAAAGCATGGACAAAGCTGCTGCTGTGATTCCCCCCTGTATAATGTGCTCTACACAGGACTTATGTTTGTAGTATTCACGCTGCAGCTCAATCCTACCTGCAGTGGAGACTCTGTCTGCTGTCTCCCTCTGCAACTTCAGGAAGCTGGAGCATGGTTCAGTAAAATTCCTCTGTTTTCACCCCAGCTAAAGAGCGAGTGCAGATCATGAGTCATGGATCAGTTGTGCCGTTACAGTGAGGTAGTGAAGGTTCTTACTGATGTCCGAGGGCAGTGTAACACATGTGGCTCTGCCATCTCCACCCTATCTTTTACACTGCCATGCGATTCATGGTGAACATCAGCTCTTAATTAATTAAGTCATTCTAGGTATATCTTTTTTAGGCAATCAGTCTTCCAGATTAATCGCAGGCGTTTAAAAACAGTTTTCCTCACTTAACCAGAGAAGTGCACAACCTGACAGTCCATTTCTTAGAGTTGCTGTCTTTTTTCATGAGCATGTGATCTTATGTCGGGCAGAAAATGAAATGCCTTTCCTGTTTTTACGTAGGACTAGTTTGTTTTGAGAAATTACTCGATGATCTGAGGTCATGGGGAGTATTCCTTTGTATCGTAGGGTATGTCAAAAGGGAAAAGCGGAAGGAAAGCTGAAGCCTTATAGAGAGAGGCTGGACCCAACATTGGTCTAAATGTGTGTCTTAGTATTGCAGAGTTCACACACAAAGTGACATAAATCCCCAATCTGATCAATGACGATATGTATAGCCGCATGTCATCATTTCAGCGCTGGTTGTCTTGGTGGTGCCCAGCAAACGATGTGGGCTTCGTAAATAATTGGACAGCCTTCTGGGGAAAACCTGGTCTGATTAAGAGAGACGGCATTCATCCTACTTTGGAAGGTGCACATCTCATTTCGGCAAACATTTCAGGGCTTTCTGGACGTAATCCATGACAAACTGGAGTTGAGACCAGGAGGCGGAGTCGCAGTCTTACACGCTTCTCTGCGCTCTCTCCTGGGCAGTCATCCATAGGAATCCCGAACCCAATAAAATACCCAATATTAACAGTGTGTGTGTCTGCCCAAGGACAATTTAAGGTAAAACCTACAGTAATAGAGGTGTCATACATAATAACCTAATAAAAGTAAATGTAACAACTACTACAGTGCAACAAAATAGGAAGATTAAATGTGGTCTCTTAAACATAAGATCTCTAGCATCTAAAGCAATATTGGTAAATGATTTAATATCAGATTATAATATTGATATATGCTGTCTCACTGAAACTTGGTTGAGACATGAAGAATATATCAGCATAAATGAGGCCACTCCACCCAGCCATATCAATACTCATATTGCTCGAGGCACAGGCCGAGGAGGTGGAGTTGCAGCCATCTTTGACTCAAATGTACTTATCAATACTAAACCAAAATTAAATTATACCTCCTTTGAAAGTCTTGTTTTTAGTCTTACGCATCCGACCTGGAAAACTTTGCAGCCAATCTTATTTGTTACAGTGTACCGTGCACCAGGTCCTTATTCAGAGTTTTTATCAACTTTGGTACTTAAAACAGATAAAGTAATTATCGTAGGTGACTTCAATATTCATGTTGACGATGATAAAAATAGCCTTACTGTTGCATTTAACTCTGTATTAGATTCTGTTGGTTTCCGTCAGTGTAAATAAACCAAACCACTGCTATAATCACACTCTCGACCTTGTTCTGACTTATGGTATTGAAATTGAGCAACTATTAGTCGAACCGCATAATCCTGCTTTATCCGACCGTTTCTTAGTAACTTTTGAAGTACTGTTAATAGATTACAAACCATTAGTCAAAAGTTCCTGCAGCAGAAACCTATCTGTTAGTGCTATAGCCAAATTTAAGGAAGAGATTCCACCAATACTTAACTCGATAGCATGTCTGCATGTAAGGGAGGAAACGTATACAAAATGTACACCACCCCAAATTGATCATGTTGTTGATAGTGCTACAGATGTGCTGCGAATACAATTAGACTCTGTTGCTCCTTTGAAAAAGAAGAAAATAAAACAACATAGATTAGCTCCATGGCATAATGCCGAAACCCGCAAAATAAAGCAAAAATCGAGACAACTTGAAAGGATATGGCGTTCCACTAAACTTGAAGAATCTCGTTTAATTTGGCATATTACTCTCAATGAATATAAGAAAGCACTGCGTAAAGCGAGAGCAGCTTACTACTCTTCATTAATAGATGAGAATAAGAATAATGCAAGATTTCTTTTCAGCACTGTAGCCAGGCTGACAGAGAGCCACAGATTGAGCCTTCTATTCCCATAGCACTCAGTAGTAATGATTTTATGTGCTTTTTTTAATGATAAAATTGTTACTCTTAGAAACTAAATTAATGACCAGTATAGTGTTATCAACAGCTCCCGGAAACATAAGTTCTAATATTACACTAGATAGTAAATTAGAATGCTTTTCAGCCATAAACCTTGAACAATTAAATTCAATGATTCTCTCTTCTAAACCATCAACGTGTATCTTAGACCCGATTCCAACTAAGCTGTTAAAGGAAGTTTTTCCATTTGTTAGCACTTCTTTATTAAATATTATGAATATGTCTTTATTATCAGGCTATGTTCCACAATCATTAAAAGTAGCAGTGATAACACCGCTTCTTAAAAAGCACAACCTCGATCCAGAGGTTTTAGCCAACTATAGACCTATTTCTAATCTTCCGTTCCTCTCAAAGATTCTTGAGAAAGCAGTCGCAAAACAGTTGTGTGATTACTTACAAAACAATGATTTATTTGAAGATTTTCAGTCTGGCTTTAGAACACATCATAGCACAGAGACAGCTCTGGTTGAAGTCACAAATGACCTTCTAATAGCCTCAGACAAAGGACTTGTCTCTATTCTTGTCTTGCTCGATCTCAGTACTGCATTTGATACTATCGACCATGACATCTTATTGCAAAGACTAGAGCACTTAGTTGGCATACAGGGAACTGCTTTAGGCTGGTTTAGGTCCTATCTATCTGAACGCTCTCAGTTTGTGTGTGTCAACGATGAATCTTCCATGCAAACCAAAGTGAGCCATGGAGTGCCACAGGGCTCAGTGCTTGGACCTATTTTGTTCACATTATATATGCTTCCGTTAGGCAATATTATAAGGAATCATTCTGTACATTTTCATTGTTATGCGGATGATACTCAACTATATTTATCAATCAAGCCTGATGAAATTAATCATCTAAATAAAATTCAAGACTGCCTCAAGGACTTAAAAACGTGGATGACCTTAAACTTTTTGATGTTAAACACGGCCAAAATTGAAGTTATTGTACTCGGCCCAAAGAATCTACGAAACAAATTATCTAAAGATATACTAACTATGGATGGCATTAATTTGGCCTCCAGTGAGACTGTAAGGAATCTTGGTGTTATATTTGATCAGGATTTATCCTTTAATGCCCACATAAAATCAATTTCAAGGACTGCCTACTTCCATCTACGTAACATAGCAAAGATCAGGCATATCTTGCCTCAAAACGATGCAGAGAAACTAGTCCATGCATTTGTTACTTCAAGGCTGGATTATTGTAACTCTTTATTATCAGGGTGTACCAAGAAGTCAGTTAAGTCACTTCAGCTGATTCAAAATGCTGCAGCTCGTGTATTAACCAGAGTTAGGAAAAGGGACCACATTAATCCTGTTCTGGCTGCCTTACACTGGCTCCCTATAGAACACAGGATAGAATTTGTAATTCTTCTTCTCGCCTACAAAGCCCTTAATGGGCAGGCGCCATCTTACCTTAAAGAACTCATTATACCCTACTGTCCTACTAGGGCATTGCGTTCCAAGAATGCAGGGTTGTTGGTTGTTCCTAGAGTCTCTAAAAGTACAATGGGAGCCAGAGCCTTTTCTTATCAAGCTCCACATTTGTGGAATCAGCTTCCAGTTTGTGTTCGGGCGGCAGACACCCTATCCGTTTTTAAGAGTGCGCTTAAGACCTTCCTTTTTGATAAAGCTTATAGTTAGGGCTGATTAGATTCAGCCCCTAGTTTTGCTGCTATAGGCTTAGTTTGTCGGGGGACACCTTACTTCTTCCTTCTCTCTGTCTGTACCTGTGTACTCTCATGTTCCGAATAACCCAGCTTCCCCAAATTTATTTTTGGTGTCTATCTACGCCGGGATCCGGAGTCATGGCTGATCGTGTTGCTGTGGTCCTGAGTCCTGGATTGCGAGCCCTGGATCTTGAGTCGTGGCTGTGCCTGCGGCTGTGGTCCTGGATCATAAGTCCTGGATGGATATCCTCGTGGATTCATCTTCTTATTATAGACACATGCATTTCCAAACATTTGGACTACCTATGTTGCAAATGTCTTTTCAATTTACACACGGCATCTATTGCACGTCTGTCCGTCCTGGGAGAGGGAACCCTCCTCTGTTGCTCTCCCTGAGGTTTCTCCCATTTTCTCCTTTAAACTGTGGGTTTTCTTCTGAAGTTTTTCCTTGTACGATGTGAGGGTCTAAGAACAGAGGGTGTCGTATTGTCATACTGATATTCTGTACAAACTGTGAAGTCCACTGAGACAAATGTAAGATTTGTGATATTGGGCTATATAAATAAACATTGATTGATTGATTGATAAATAGTTTTTGTTGAGGCATTTAAGAAAGTTCAAGCCCTACTTTTACTCCTCTACAATGCACTAAAATTGTCCAACATGTGTGGGGAAAGGACAGGAAATTATAATCCGACGAGCAGTTCATCTGAAGTATACTAAAGCTGTTTTTGTGACTGTTCATTGTTTTTAAACAACTCTCCTGTTATCTCCATCAGAACAACATTCTTGATCCCCACCAGTCTGGTTTCAAGGCAGGTCACTCCACAGAAACTGCCCTCCTTGCTGTCTCTGAGGAACTGCACACTGCTAAAGCAGCCTCCCTCTCCTCTGTCATCATCCTTTTGGACCTGTCTGCTGCATTCGACATGGTGAATCATCAGATCCTCCTTCGCACTCTCCAAGAACTTGGAGTTTCAGGCTCTGCACTTTCCCTCCTCACCTCATACCTCGAAGACCGCACCTACAGGGTAACTTGGAGAGGGTCCGAGTCTGACCCTTGTCAATTAACTACAGGGGTCCCTCAGGGCTCTGTCCTTGGTCCCCTCCTCTTCTCTCTGTACACAAACTCGCTCGGATCGGTCATTAGCCCGCATGGTTTTTCATACCATTGCTGACGACACCCAATTAATTCTGTCCTTTCCCCGCTCAGAGACCCAGGTTGTCGCACGCATCTCTGCTTCTCTAGCAGACATCTCTCAGTGGATATCTGCTCACCACCTCAAGCTCAACCTTGACAAGACTGAGCTGCTTTTTCTTCCGGGAAAAAAGTGTCCCACTCTTGACCTAACGATCAACATCGGCCCCTCTGTTGTTTCCCCGACTCAGACTGCAAGGAATCTGGGTGTGACCCTAGATAACAACCTGTCCTTCACTGCAAACATCGCTGCTACAACCCGCTGCTGCAGATACACTCTTTACAATATCAGGAGGATACGTCCCCTCCTGACCCAGAAAGCAACGCAACTTCTGGTCCAGGCTCTCGTCATCTAACGCCTAGACTACTGCAACTCCCTCCTGGCTGGTCTACCTGCATGTGCCATCCGACCTCTGCAGATCATCCAGAATGCAGCGGCTCGCCTGGTCTTCAACCTTCCTAAATTCTCCCACACCACACCGCTCCTCCGCTCCCTTCACTGGCTTCCAGTAACTGCTGGAATCCACTTCAAGACACTGGTACTTGCGTACCATGCTGTGAATGGATCTGGCCCTTCCTACATCCAGGACATGGTTAACCCATACACCCCAGCACGTGCACTCCGCTCTGCATCAGCCAAACGGCTTGCTGCACCAGCACTGCGAGGGGGACCCAAGTTCCCATCAGCAAAAACACGTAGGTTTGCTATCCTGGCTCCAAAATGGTGGAATGAGCTCCCCATTGACATCAGCACAGCTGAAAGCTTCCACATCTTCCGGCGCAGACTAAAAACGTATCTCTTTCGACTCCACTTCGAGCGATAGAATTGCTAACAAAGCACTTATATACTAACAAAGGACTGGCTTATCTAAAGCCAGTTGAGTAGCACTTTTTTTTTTGGCTCTATGAAACCTGATGTACTTATATGATTCTGTTTTCTTCAAGTTTGTATCTTCTTGATCGAATGCACTTATTGTAAGTCGCTTTGGATAAAAGCGTCAGCTAAATGCAATGTAATGTAATGTAATATGGTTGAAGAAAATCAACCACTGCCATGATTATACATTTTAGATATGCTAACCAAAATTCATCATAACGGCACACATTTTCTTCCGAATGGCACTTATATTAATTGTATCCTGCTATGAAAAGGAAGGGTAAGTATGATTTTATTAAAGTTATATCGCGCAGGGGATTTTGCTCTCAGACTCTCCTGTTAGTATTGAAGACGGCACATAGTCCTGTGGGCTAGCAGAAGTCTTATCACAAGGAATCACTGAAAACCTCAAACCCTGAAGTGCAATGTAAGCCGTGGCTGGATTAGCTTGAGTCAGCAGACACACCTCCAGCTCCTCCAGGGCCTGTTGGTCAGTGCTCTGGTTTCCTGGGACCTCACTGAGGCCTAACGCCCGCGACATGAGCCGGAGCAGAGCCGGCCGCTGGCCTGCTTTGGTTGGGTCACGTAAGGCTTTGTGTATCAGACCTCCATCCAGACTGTGCACATCTCCCAGCAGCTTTTCCTAGAGAAGGAGGAGAGGAGATGCAAGAGAGATACTTTTTAGGGGATGAGAAGTGTGTTCAATAAAAACAATTATAATAAAAAAACAAATTAATCACTGAGCTGTGAGTCTTTGGGCATTACATAAGTGTCCAAAGTATCTTATCAGCAAAAGTGGAAGAAACATGCAACACATGCTTTACATTACAATTGTCACACTTTCAGGTTTGTAGCCTTTATTTATCCAGGTAAAAAATCCCATTGAGATCAACAATCTATTTTACAAGGGAGACCTGCCGCACATTGGTTACACATGTAACAGAAAACAAAAAGGACACATACAACATAATGACAGGGGTACAATTTACAAACGTATTCACAAAGACAGGTACCAGGAGTATCAAATAACATTTCATCCAGCTGTGATTTAAAATGATGCAGGGGAACCAACATCTTAATTTTCCAAATGTTTTGCAGAGTGTTCCAAGCTAGAGGAGCTGCGCATATACAACTTTTAGTGCCTAAAACAGTCCTAGCACTTGGTACATGTAATAAAAACACATCCTGGGATCTTAGGCAATAGCTACTTGTGACTCTCTGTGATATCAGTGAGCAGATGTAAGGTGGTAGTTTACCCAACATGGCTTTATAAATGAACATGTACCAATGACTGAGTCTCCGAACAGTAAGTGATGGCAGACTTGGCCTGGCATACAGGGTACAGTGATGAGTAAGTGCTTTACAGTTTGTAACAAATCTCAGCGCACTGTGATAGGCGGCATCTAACTTGTTCAGGCAATGGGCAGGTGCATTCATATATATCAAATCACCATAGTCCAGCACAGGTAAAAAGGTCACAGAGCCTAGCCTTTTCCTGGCCTCAAGCAAGAAACAGGACTTGTTTCTGAAAAATAAACCTAGCTTCACCGTTAGCTTTCTAAGCAAATTATTGACCTGAGGTTTAAAAGAGAGACAATCATCAAGCCAGATACCAAGGTAACCACTTCAAGTACTTTTCCTTGCGTAGTAACAATATCCAAAGCAGTCTCTGGTGTCTTTTTGGCTTTTGAAAATAACATTACCTTGGTTTTATCAACATTTAAAAGAAGCTTAAGCTCAGAGAGCTGCGTCTGAATAATATTAAAAACAGCCAGCAATTTAACACCAGCCTCCTTAATGGAGGGACCTGCACAATACATCACGGTATCATCAGCATAAAAATGTAAAGTAGCTTCATCCACATTTTGACCTAAACTGTTGATATAGATGGAGGATAAAAGTGGACCTAAAATAGAACCTTGGGGAACACCATTTGTAATGTTTAACCACTCAGAAGACAGCCCATCAAAGTGAACACATTGGGACCTTTCAGAGAGGTAGTTCACAAACCACCCCACTACATGGCTGGATATGCCAATACTGAGTAGCCTCTGCTTCAGGATATGATGATCGACGGTATCGAAAGCTTTGGAAAGATCAATAAACAGAGCTGCACAACTCTGCTTTTTGTCTAAGATATTAGCAATATCATTCACCACTTTCATTGTCGCAGTGATGGTGCTATGTTGCTTTCTGAAGCCTGACTAATGCTTACATAGTAGGTCATTGTTACTTAAAAACACCTTTACCTGTTCACTCACTAGGCGTTCAAGAACCTTGGCCAGAACTGACAATTTAGAGATGGGCCTATAATTATTTAATAAAGTAGCCTCCCCACCTTTTAGTAAAGGCAGGACATAAGCTGACTTCCATATTTTTGGAATTGTGTTCGTGCTGAGGGAGAGGTTAAAAAGAGAAGTAAGAGGTGGTGCAATCAAATCTGCAGCTATCTTTAAAAAGAAAGGTTCTAAGTTGTCCGGACCAGCCGGTTTTTTAGGATCTAACTTGGTTAACGCTTCATGAACGACTTCAATAGAAAAAGGAGAAAAACTGAAAGGGTTTTCCAAACCACGTTTTTCAGAGTCACAGACTGTGGTGTTCACAGAAGCAGAGTTAGTAACAGAATCAAACATAGAGCCACAGGACACAAAATGCTCATTAAAACAATTTAACATGGTGGCCCTGTCCGATATAGTGCCAGATGCTGTGGTAAGGCAAGGAGGTAGCTCATTACGGATTTCACCAGTGGATAACGATTGAATGGCTTTCCAAAATTGTCTAGGATTATTCAGGTTATTTGTGGTAACTGACAGATAATACTTAGACTTAGCACTTTTGATTTGCGATGTGAATCTATTTCTTAGCTGCCTAAAACGAAGCCTGATTTCCAAGCCTTTGCCCAGGCCTTGTTTCTCTCATGCAGGAGACTGGACAATTCAGCAGAAAACCAAGGATTATCTCGTCCCTTCACTCTAAATTTACGCAGGGGTGCATGTCTATTAATAATTTATAAATAAGATAAAAATAAGACCATGCAGTTTCAACATCAGCACACAGATCGATTTTTCCCCAATCAAACCCAAACAGATCATGAACAAAACCCTGCTCCACAAAATGTTTTGTGTCTCTCTTAATCTGTTAAACCCTGAGCCTGTTTTTCAGGTCTTAGGCTCGAAAATGACATTCCCAGAACAAATGACCATATCTTCCCTTCTAAAAGGGTTAAATTAATAATATTTTTTCTCAAAGTAATGATAAACCTGTGAGTTGGATGTAGAAAAGTCAGAACAATATACAGTAGATGTTTTTTATTTTAAAGAAAATTCAGATTGAACATAGTAAAAAACTGTAAATTATAGTGTCCGTCCAAAGATTTTCTTTTACTTATAGTGAGAACTACCCTTGGATGATGGGTTAGTAGACTAAAAGCTTTAGGAATCCAAAGTACAACATATAATAAGTACCCTGTATCAAGATTGATGCAAAACAAGTGAAATCTGACCTTTTTAGAGAGATTTAGCAACAAAAAAACACTTCTGGGGTCATTTGGGTGGATTTTCCATATCTCTGGCCCCCCTTTGTCGATTTTGACGAATGAAATCTCTTTCTGACCGTTAGAGCCAATAGAATCGAAGGGGAATTTCCCCACACACACGATAAAAAAAAAAAGGTGGGGGCTTCGCGCATTCAGTTTTGTATCAGAGCGAACCTATCTCTAGCTCTGACATCTGGAAACGGAAAAGCAGTTTTATTGCTTATGGATTATCAGAAATCATTTAAAAGGGACACAGACACATTGGATTAACCTATGGATTCACTTCAGCAGCGTTTTTATCGTTTTAATGCCATTGAAGACCACTTTTGACCAGACTACGACACAGGTAAGCCATGTTAGCGTGTTTAGCTACCTAGCGCCACATGTTTTGTTTTTGTTTATAAAGTTGCGAGTTCGTATCATAGAGTGATAATGTATGTACCCTTCGATTCTGTGTCACCTCACGATGTGAAATGATGTCATGGATGTGCAGAAAAGATAAATAATAAGGTTTTATGAGTGAATTTCAGTGCAGTAAATCTGTTAGCATTTTTTGCTCGTTGCTAATTCAGAGGCTCAGCGTTAGCATTGTGGGGTTTAAAAAAAAAAAAAAAAAAAAAAAGATCAGTTAGATGAGTTTCTTCCCGTTACATGGATATAAAACATTCATAGTTTATTAAATGAACATGTCCTCAGACACTGTTTCCTGCAAGATGTTGCGAGAGGGCCCCGGTACCAGGGTCTCTCGGGCTTAACCTGTTAAGATGCTAACAGATTACTGCACCGAAAATCACTCACAAAACCTTATTATTTATCTTTTCTGCACATCCATGACATCGTTTCACATCGTGAGGTGACACAGAATCGATGGGTGCATACATTATCACTCCATGACACGAACTCGCGACTTTATAAACAAAAACAGACATCAAAACATGTGGCGCTAGGTAGCTAAAAACGCTAACATGGCTTACCTGTCTCTTGGTCTGGTCAAAAGTGGTCTTCAATGGCATTAAAACGATAAAAACGCTGCTGTAGTTAATCCATAGGTTAATCCAATGTGTCTGTGTCCCTTTGAAATGATTTCTGATAATCCATAAGCAATAAAACGGCTTTTCCGTTTCCAGATGTCAGAGCTAGAGTATACAGATGTAGCACTCCCGATAGGACTCCAGCTTACAGCTTCCTGCCTGCTACCTGCCTGCTACCTGCCTGCTACCTGCCTAAGACCTGCCTAAGGCGCCGTTTACACGAGGAGAAAACTGCTTGTATCTGCATAGTTTCGCGTGCGTATAGCCCTATTATTTACACGAGGCCGATAGAAACTGACCCCACAAACGATAACGGGTCCCAAGGTGGATAGATTTGCAAACGAAACGCTCTGGGGGCCAACCGAGTCCGTGTAATCACCTCTATACGAATATTTCCTGAAAAAATAGCGATAGCCCCACCTCTCCTGCTCACTGCTGTAGCAACTATCAAAAATAGCTGTGTTAATTAAACGCACAAGGGGTTCTTGAATGAAATAATATTATAAAAGGCAAACCAGAATTGTTAACGCCCAATATACTCCTTAAACAAAATAAACAGAGTCAGATTTCATGCATTGATCCATTATATTGACAAAGGTGCGATCTCACCCGGTGTTTGTAGAGAATATCTCTTTCTGAGCCGTCCTCTCCACAGAGACGTGCTTCTTGGTCGGTCGATGCAATATCCACAGATTCGGTTTCTTTCAGTTAACTTCCCCGTTGCATTTATCCATATGCTGAGGAAATGACTATATCCCGCTGAATACCAGCAATCGCCACACACACTTCCTCCTGTCAGTAGCTACTGCTAGTGCTACTGCTACTGACCATGCTACAGATATTAGTGCAAAATCTACAGCTCCTCTACCACAACCATCGGCAACAAGTGGACATGGAGAATTACATGAACTACATGAACACCGCGGGGCTTAAACAGAAGGGTAGCCATGGTAACATTGCGGCGGGGCTGCTCGGGCTGCTCTTCTTCGTTGCTTTTGGTGTATTTTGGCGGAAGTTACAGCGCCACTTACAGTCCCGGCATATGTACTACAGCGTTTCCAGCGGCCTCGTTTGAAC